GCCCCTGATAAGGTTGTAGGCAGCCACAAGATCCCCCCTTAGTCTCCTCTTGCGGAGACTGAAGAGATTCAGGTCCCTCAGCCTCCTCTCATAGGGCTGGCCATGGAGGCCCCCAACCATACGAGTGGCCTCCTCTGGACCCTCTCCAGGTTCTCCATGTCCCTCTTGAAGTGCAGCGCCCAGAACTGGACACGGTACTCCAGCTTCGGCCTGATACGTACTGTCTATAGGAAGAGTACTGTGAAACAATATAGCATAGGCTGCTGTTCCCAAAACTCAGTGCCAAAATGATTACCTTAAAATGGTGATACAAAGGATCAGTATCTGTGACCACATCTTTCACAGGCAGAGCCGTAATTCCTGGATCCATGCTGAATCTGGGGGCCAATCTAAAGGATCTAAGCATAGCCCAGATACTGCATACTTTTTTACAGTACCATTAGTGAAAATATTTTTTAAACTATCCAGCAATGTTATCTTGAACAGGACTTGACTCAAGCAGACAAGAGGTCCTAAAACATTACTCTCACCAGTCTAGAATTTCTCATAATCTCTCCATGTCACTTGATCATGCCCTCCCATGTTTGTTACAGTTACAATCCTCCAGACCAAAGTACTGTAAAGCATTTTTTTACAACAACTTGCATGTAGAACTAGGGCCAGGCTTGTTGAATGAACTCTTTGAAGTGAGGCAGGCAAGGTTCTTTGGGCAGATGTGATATCTTTTATTAGACCAGCTGAGCATCTGGAAAAAAACCCAGCTCTTTGAAGTGACTCATTTGTTCCTGTCTGACCAAAAGCCACTTCTCTCACACCATTCAATGTTTAGTCCTTATTGTAAAATTTCATCCCATGTTGTGTAATTGCACAATAATTTCTCTGTAAAAAAACAATTGCTTGTGGACAGTTTGTAGTCAGATCATGTAGGTGCATTACTGGAGCCATATTATCCAGTAATTAATATGCATCATCACTTTAAACTGTGTGGAAATTGCAACTAAAATCCTGTAATCATTTGGCATTTATTTTTTAGGTTACAGGACAGGATAACTGAGAAACAGATTAAAAATGTATTTAATCTTCCTTTTCTTGTTTGGGATTATATTTTTCATCTGTTACACTTTTTCTACCTCCATCTGATCTTTGACTCATTACTGATGATAAATTTAGTGTTCATTAATGACTCAAGTCCATTGTTTGAGAACTTCTTATAGAAAAGACAGGAGAGTCCAGAGGAATAGTTGGTCATGCTGTAATAGAATATGTAACTAAAATCTATTCCCCACACAAGAACTGTATTAAGCTGGAAACCCCTATTTTTGCTGAGACCCAAAAATTTAAGTAAAGATTGACTGAGAGATGATATTTTTTGCACTCTAAATATTTATTGCATTGGATGTTGTAATTATGCCAGCCTCCTCTCATAGTCTGCCCAGCCAAGTGTTATTTAGTATTGCTTCTAGTACATGTAGACTCAAAGAAAATAGATACTTTAAAATATCTACATATGAAATGGTTCTTGTATCCCTACAAAACTATTAGAATGTTAAGGAACTATTTCTATTAAATTAGCTTCTAGGAGATGCAATACAAATCTTTCTGAAAATGCCTAGCTATGAGGAAACCACGGATCCTTGCCAGCTTAATACAAAATCATAAGACCTTTGAGAAAGCAATTAAAATATTTCAGTAGAAAATTTAGAAAAAATAGCAACCTTAATGGTGGAATGCTATCTGCACTAGATAAAAAGTTCCTCTAAGGCTATGTGTCTACACAATAAATTTACCATGCACCTGAGCAGTATTCTCAGGCATGCTGAGTTGTTCATGTTGCACTGCTTTCTAAAGTGGAAGCAATGTAATTGCAACCACCCAATGTGCTGGGGGTGCAGGTGGAGGGAGGAGTGATTTAGCACTGTCAAATAACAATGGCAATGAACCTGCCTGCAGCAACACTATACTCCTTTTGCATTAGGTAGCCAGCGTCGAGCAGAAGAGAATTCCTGGGGATGATCTGGAACACAGTAAATTGATTATGTAGAGAGAACCCAACTTGTTAAATATTCTCTATATTTTTTAAACCTGTTGTTTCCCAGGCTCACATATTTTGGGATGGGTTATATACAAAAGATTTGAGCTCCAGTTCTACACATTACTTTTTTTAGGAAGAGAAGCAAGGATTTGTTAGGGTGGACTAGTTAGCCAAGCTTTCTAATGCAAGACATTCTTCCTTAGCAGATCAGAATAAGCCAGGCACAATATAGTATAGAATAGTAAAGGGAGAGGATGAGGGAAATTCCCAGGTGTAGTGCAGACACAATTAGCAGAAGCAAATAAGTTGATTACTGGGAGATTACTGGGAGATCAG